GACCTTAAACCTATAAAATTGTCCGCACTTTAAAATTTAAATTATTCATATATCAGCTTTTGATTCACTAACATTCATTTTTATCAATATCATTGTTTTATATTATTCAATTCTTCGTCTATTTAATTACACTAGCTTATATTTCGTGTATCATTCGCCTTATCGTAGTTTTACTAGTTCTTTTTTATTAAATTATTTTTAAGTGAAAAATTAAGCGTTTTACTCACGTCATCGAACTATTCTAGTGTAGTACATTTACACTAGAAGTGCAAGCCAATTAAGTTTTGCACAATTTTACAATCACTTTGGTTCAAACCTGGTTGGTAAGCTCAGTCCGCAACTAGACAACGAATGATAGTGTCAACAAACAACATTTATTACACTTACTTTTTGCAAAATTACTGTCCATTTATCGATGAAAACAGTAGAAAATTCGTATTCTTTGTAATATTACTTTATATATACAACGTTGATTCAAGTTCGGCACAGTATTGATTGACCAATACTTTGTTTCCCAGTATTGGGCTTAGTTTCGCGAAACGTTAATGTGCTAAACCTAAACACCAGATTAACTGAACATTAATTTAGTATTGACAAACGTGTACTTGGCTGCCCAATAGTGTACCAAACTCGGCGAAACATTAATGTACCGAACCTTGACGTTTGAAGATTGGTCGAACATTGGTCCAATTATTGACAAATCAATGCTTAGTTTTACACTACTGGTCCAGGTTTTATCTTGTCGTCAATTTCGGTATTAAGTGTATACCATATTTATTTTTATTTCATATTTTCTTCTAAGTCGTAGTGTTATATAAATAGTTACAGCACCATTTTTATTGACTATCAACTTGGTGATCCTTCGACTTATTGATTATTGGTACGTACCCAGTGGGTTTTTCTCATCCAAAATAAACACTTATATATTTTAAATTTAGACTTTGAGGTGATAATGTTTATTATTAGTGTAAATTGAAAATATATGAGGTTACTTACAAATAGCTTTCTTTACATACTTATATATACATACATATATATTGGGTACTATTTATATCTGATTGAAATGGAAGTTTCACGATCAAACAATGGTGCAATCAGTATACCGTAAAAACGGCCAACTTCTCAGTACAAAATAATAAATAAATATTTTTCAAGAAATTCCCAAATTCGCTGTTTCTGAGTATTTCTGTTTAAACATAAAAACGAATGTTATAAATTCTTAAATAAATTCATATTGTTATTGTTATTAGATACTACTGATACTTCATCTCCAAATTATCTAACAACGATGAAATTTTCAAATTGCAAAATACATTGAAAACAACGATTCTATTACAAAAACGCTCCTATCATTGAGAAGTTAATAAATTTCAGCAGTTGCTCTGCATGTAGGGCCTCCGCGTGCGTGAAAGTCGAGTAACTCGTGTGCAAAAGAAATTGTTAGCCATTTTCTGTATGATATAACATTTGTAAATTCATCATCATATCATTATAAGGTCGTCAGTCCTGAGACTAGTTGGACACGCACTTCTATTCTTTCCTATCCTGAGCTAATCTTCGCATTTCCGTAAAACTAGAACAACCCACATCCTTAACTAACCTAGGTCTACCTCTACCCCTCCTAACTCCTGTTTCTGCCTCTAATATCTAATAATCTGATCTAGTTTTACCTCTACTACTCTTAACTCCTGTTTCTACTTCTAATATGTCTCTAACTAGACCTTCATGCATGAGAAGGTGTCCTACTAACCTATCTCGCCTATTTCTTATGGATTTCCATGGTCCTCTGTTCTCCTATTCTTTCTAATACCTCTTCATCTCTATCCAGCTATCATTCGTCTGTAATACCACATTTCGAACGTTTCTAACCTTTTCTTTTCCACCGCGCCCACCGTTCATGTTTCACATCCGTATAGCGCCGTGCTCTTTTTTTTTTTATGTTTTCGTGGAAGAGGGAAAATCTTCAGAAGACACCCAGCCGTCCATACGACTGGGTAGTGTCGGATGCGCCGTGCTCCAAACATACACCTTTAAGAATAATAAGAATAAAATTAAGCATATACGTACATTTGCAAAGTTACATAAATAATTTAGAATAGTCAGGAGTTCGAAGATCATCTGAGCCATAATAAAGATTTCGGTTCTTCAGATAGATTCTAATTATACCATCTGTACAAACGTTGTACGTTGCACGCCAAATTAATATTGTGCAACTAGTTAAATTGGATCGTGATTTCGATGAAGAATAAAAATTCGCTGTTTTATTTAAAACATTTACTGGAACTTCTATTCTAATCACTAAAAACTAAACTTCAACGTCTAAATTATAACTATCAAATTCGTCCAACAAGGAAAACTATTTTGGATGATTACTGGATGCAAAACTTACTTGTTTGAGAGATGAAATCTGAATGTCTGAATCTTAATGTACTAGGAACTCTAACTATGAACAGGTAAACTGGTGAATATTATTGTAGCGGGGGCGAATAACTAGAAATTGAATATAATATAATACAGAATATGGAAAGCCCTATCATTAAATATGAGCACAATCGTCATACAACATTTCTTTCCCGTTTATAAGGGTTCTATGAATACCCAGGTAAAATGTAAATTGGTCCTATTGTCACTAACTTAGACACTATTTAAAATTACAAATATGAATTTAAATTAAAAATATTTCANAATAATTATCTATATTTTTTACAATTATTTTAATTCGAAAACTTTTCCATTTAGTTAGATTTAGTATTGTTAATTACTTTCATTACATTTTAAATTTCTTTGTTCCTTTGTTAAATTCAACTTTATAACACTTCTTCAAACGTTTTAGGTCATAAATTCTTTTCTTTTATTATTTGGTTTTACAATATTTTGTGAATAATTTCATTGTCATACATACAAAATGTAATGATGAATTCAATAATTCCTGGTAGCATAAATGAGGTTTTTCTTTTACTAATACCTGGCTTATTGTTAGCTCATTCGTACCTGTTTTCAGAACTTTTCTGTATCTGGTTGAACTCAACACCCTCTCATCTATGAAGACATTCAAGAAATTCCTTCATTTATCCACCACCATGATATGTTTCATTTAGATTCCACCCCCTTTGTTAGTTGTTCTCTAGTTTTAAGTAAATTTAATATTGTTAGTGAGTATGTAAGAAACCTTCTCATTAAACACATCAATCAAATTCGCTACTAGTTTTATTTTAATAACATTCTAGTAGAACGGGAGTTCAGAACCGCAACTTCCGAGTGGTCTCCGGATAATTTTTTATCTCACGACTGCACACCAACACTTTTCCAAAGTTTAGCATTAATTTTCATGAGATAGATCCCGTATACCTACTCGACCTCTGTAGTATTTTCAATAGGTACCAATATAAATATCACCCGTATATGTTTTGCTTCATTTCTTTATCTGTAGTTACAATTTCATCTGAGGATAACAAAAAATATCTCATTCAATTCTCTAATAGAGGATAAACAGATTTCAGATCTGTTTTGCAACCATTTTTACATTTAGTGACATAATATTGTTATCGGACACCAGTGAACGGTATTCAATATCAACACCAATGCCAAACCTCTTTCACTTACTCCCGATATCGTACCTACTAGATCTCCACATAGTGGAGCCTTCTAGCTAAGCGCATACCTGAAGAAAATCTACGTACAAATACATATATAATACAAACATTATCCGATATCGTCGCGGGCAATATGAAACTGATAAACATTACAGACGCTTTCGATTTAAATTGGGGTAAGCTTAGCGGTTTAGCAAAAGATTATCCCTATGTTCGGTTCTCAACTGGCCACTGATATAGACTAAAGTTATAAACATACTGGTATGTATACAGGGTAAGTTAATTTTTTGAATTAATTTTACCCACTACAAATATTGTCACTCCCTTGTCGGGAATCGAACCCCAGCCCCTAGTTTTACGGACCTGTAGGTACTCTATCACTAAGTTACAAGGAGGTGACATCAGCGATACCGACGAACGTATCACATTAATTTAAGGTTATCTGTAGTGGGTAAAATTAATTCGAAAAATTAATGCGTTAATACATTGAATTAACGCTATTCAAATACAAAGTATACTTCGTTTACTTTCTGTAGCGATGTGACCTTCAGTTTGATCGGCGCAAAGTAGAAAATAATAGCACTAGGCCAGAAAAGAAAGGAGACAACTCTCGGCGAAACTCTTAACCGGTGAGGAGCGTATAATCCGTACAGTACTGCACGGAAAAATTGACCATTTTATACACTACAATTGCATTGATCAAATGTGCGGTTATTGGTACCATTTACTACTGAAAATATCAACTAGATGTTTATTTATATTTGAAGACATATTAAAGGCTTTAACGCTTGTTTTCTCGCACTACTATTCATGATTAAACAAAACTTTTGGCAGGTACTGTATGAAAAAGTATGTTTAATGAACAAGAGTCGAGAGTATAATGAGCTTTTTTCTCCCTACCTACGATTTTGCCAGCGCGCATCCAAGACATTGGAAGGGGCACATAGCTAGAGAAAGTATATAAAGTATATCTCGTTAATAATAATGATTATACGTTAGTTCGAATTAAATAAATTTAAATAATTTTCGAAAATAAAAACAAAGTTTATAATTCGTCATAACTCGTTTGTTGATATAACCTTTTTTACAGCATCGTGAATCACCCTGTATACGACGTTCTTTTTTGTAGTAATAGCGGATTTTTAAATTTCTTTTACAATTAAAAAGTACAATTGTAACGTAATTTTGTTTAAATTGTTACCATACAATTAAAGTATTAAAGGAATAATAATTCATTTCTTAGTATATTAGATCAACAATTAAATGGATATTTAAGGAATACTATGTCTGTTTTGGTCAGATCGTAACCAGTAGTAATTTAGATTTTCATTCCCAATGTAAAATGTACGTATTAACATTTATTATTCTCCAGGAACTCTTAATTGATACGCACGTAATTGTACTTACTCATTTTAATCGCCTTCTAAGTTTCTCATTCACGTTCTTTAATCACGATCTTTGCAGTCGTTTGTTGCTATCTGAAAAAAAAAGAACACATTTATTAATTTTCATACATATAGTCAATTATGTCTCTAAAAACTTTGATATCGAGAAGTGTTTTCACAAACGATGTCTAACCCGGATTTACTGTCAACTATACTGTCTATAAATTTTATTTAATTTTTTTAACCCTGATATAATACTAAATAAATAATAAATATCTATAACCAGTTTTATGAAACTTATTAGTTGACTAGCTTCTGCCTGCGACTTCGCTAATTACCTTGGGCTAACCCACGACTTCCTTTAATTAGAGGTGAAAATATTTTTAAATAATACGTACGTTAAGGAGCTATTTTAGGTACCTACATATGAATAACGTATTTATTTGGATAAGGATTAATATC